AGGGTAGCTAGAATCAACATGCGTCGTCGTCTTCGACTAGCTGTGACATGAAACGATGGCCGTATCCGTCTTCGGAATATCATTTGGTCTTGGAGGTGCCGTTGCTCCATCGTGCATTTTTTTGCAACGTGACAATGTTTTGAAAAATGAATGATGAATATAATACTGATTTAGATATTTCTGATTTGGGGGATACAGAAAGGGGACACCGTCAGCTGGGTCGTGACACGCGCGAATTGCGCGGTTGATCAGAAATGCACGAAACAAAGTACATGTAGATGATCCGAAGGAACAGCTTGATAAATTCGCAACGGTATCATATAAAATACATTTTGTAGTCAGATACAGTATTGAAAACAAACAACGCCAATGGCAGAAGGAATACAACCCAATCCACCACCAGGGGAGGTTACATCGATAGAAGTGTCCAATGATGATTCTCCTCCTTCCGTAGTAGAAGAGGGAACGAATAACAATGCTGTGTCAGAAGAACCCCCAAGCGCAGACAATGATGATGAAGAACCACCATCCTTGACGAATGAACCACCAGAAGAGGAGTCGTCCACGATGATGATGCCAGCTGTAAAACACGAAAGTATAGAAGAAAACGAGCCGGGTCTTGCCGTGGAGCCATCGCCTATGGTAGCAGCGGAACCCATCACCACCAACAACAACCTTCCAATGGGCAGCCTTTTGGACGATGACGAAAGCGACAATGACAATGACGAGCAAGAAAATTCTGCTCCGACTGCGGAAGATGACGATAATAATGACGATTTTGTCCACGTGGATAATATGGAGGACAGCAACGAAGACAATCTTCGAGACGAAGAATCTAAAGTCTTGAATGGTGCTGAAATTCTCTTTTCCCGATCCACCAAGGAACAATACAACGGTTGGGACAATCTGCGTTGGATGGCCTATTCCGGCACACGCAAGTTGGTCTTTTTTGAAACGGTCTATCGCTACAATGAAAAACCCAAATCGTTCATGAACTTTTTGGCAGGAGAAGAGTACAGCGCTCGTAAACTTGCGGTCTACGAAGAACCTTCTGTCATTCTCCTTTTAAGGTCACCTGAAAACATGGACGAACTCAAGAGTGCTCTCTGCGTGGAACATGATTCCCAAGTGGACACCACCAATACCAGTTATTGGATTGTGGAAGCTGTCGTGGACACCAACACTTGCAAGCTACGACTGTCGTCCTTGACCACAGTCACTTCGATTGTAAAAGTCCAAGAAAATGAATTCCGACGCAAATCATGTTTTGAATTGATTACTCCACTCTCCTCCATTGTGTTATCGGCCATCCAACTTCGGCATGGAGGAGCCGTCAAGACGAGTTTCATTGATTCGGGTGCCTTTTTGGAGACCTCTAGTGCGGAGCTTGTCCTCCAAAAAGTGGTTTGCAATGCCCATCGTCCAAAAGAAATTGCACCACAAACAACCAGCGACTTGTCTTGGAAGCATCAAATTATTCTCGGTACACTCCATTCCTATGTCATTCTTGGTAACAAGGATTTATTGGATCAAGGAATAGCCAAGGCGAGAAAGGCTCAAGAACTAGAAGCACGTCGCATGGGCGAATCATCCTCCATGGCAGCATCCAAATATCTGGATCCAAGAATTATTGATGCCTTTGATGAATCTGGCAAGACCCCACTGCATTATGCGTGTGCCAACCGGTTCACCATGGGAGTCTTATCCTTGGTATCCGCGGGGGCCAATTTGGATTTGCGAATGGAACCCTACCATTTGACTCCTTGTCATTTGTGCGCACAAAAGCTGGACGATAAGAGTTTGATGTGCATCCTACAGCAAAATCGACGACCCAATGTGGTGGATGAATTCGGCCGAACACCCATGTACCTTGCTATTACTGAAGGACATACAGTAGGAGGAATGGCCGATCCAAAAGCGCTGGATCGATGTCTTGCCGTACTGGATGCTCATGGAGGGGATCTTGGTGATTTGAGTACCTTCATGCACCCCATTTGTCATCACGCGCGCATGTGGAACCACGAGTCATTGGCAGTGGTTTTGAGGCATGTGCATCATCGGTATCCTCTCTTCCCACCAAACGGTGATGTTGACGATCGAAAGAGAATAGGAATATCGGCGTCGGCAAACTTTCATTATCCGATCCATTCAGCATTGATTAGCTTTCGCGAAAATTTGAAGATGTTTTGCGAGGATAGGGATCCACAAGAACTTCACTCTCTGTGTGTTGACGCGGAGGCTAGACTCTCCAAGTAAGTTGGTGTAGAAGCAAAGACTGTTTGGATGCTGATTGATGATTCATCGGGGCCTGCTGTTTTCTCACATAATTTCACTCTTTGCAGTACGCTACAAACTCTCTATAGTTGTGGCTTTGAGCCAAATGAACGGATCGAAACTATATTGGACCAGTTTAACGGTTCCGAACAACTGTCTTCCTATGTTGGGTTTGCTCCAATTCAGATTCTGTATCGTGCTGGCTTGGATGTGCTTGAGCACAAGGACAGAATTCCAGAAACATCACACAAGAGAATTGTGGACACCATTGGCAAGCTTGCCGAATTCATGGTTTCCAAAGGTACTCAATTCGCGATGGATGTACCATTGTCTAGCCGACCTAGGGCCACTGACAGCGAAGTCATAGCTGACAATGCAAAGTTGGTGGAACGAAGCGATCAGTTAAAGATTGAATCAAACAAGCAACTTACAGAAACGTTAGGCGGAATTGATCGTCTGAAGGCGGCTCAAAAGAGTTGGGAAGTCCGAAAACCTGTCAGCACAGAATCCAAGGCGTTCGTCTTTCACACCGATAATAAAAGTTTGATTGACAACTCTCTCGCTCCCGGTGGAAGTGATGAAAAATCTTGCTTCGTTTGCTGGAAGCAATTTGGAAAGCTGGTGAATAGGAAACACCGATGTCGGATCACAAAGAGATACATTTGTGATTTCTGTTCTTCGAAAAGGATTCTTTCCAACGGCGAGGAGCATCGTGTAAGCGATGGTCAATATCTCTCCGCAATGTTGGCCGGAACTAGTCCAGCTCCAAAACCAGCGCCTCCTATGGCTGCCAAGCGTGCTGGGAGTGGGGGTGCCACAGATGCAAAAACTAATCAGGTCACTTCGCGTTTGGATAAGCTAGAAGCAGCGGAGCAGGCAAACCGAGATTCTCTATTTGGTTCTTTCATTGATAATGCGTCAAAGGCTGTTTTTGGGGAGGAGGAAGAAGCTGACAAAGCAGCTGCTCAAGCAGAGGGTCTGTCAGGTCTTTCCAATCAATTAGGCGAAACCAGGAATATGCTGCATCAACGAGGGGAGAAACTGAATACACTTGCCGAGAAGTCGGATAAGTTGGCCAGTGCAAGTGAAGATTTCGCTTCAATGGCCAAGAAGCTGAATCAACAGAGCCAGGGTGGTTTCTTTTGGTAGTTTCTATTGGGGCTACCATTGTAGGTACGATCACGAGTAAGTCCAAGTAGTACTTGTATTATCCGAACTAAGTGTAGTACTGGTACAATATACAGTAGTCCTGGAACTACAACACACAACCCCTTTTGTAGATAAAAGACTATGCTAGTCTATTTGACATCGACTTATCTGACCAATCCACGTACTGTAAAAATCGTCAGTCATCAAATCGACTGACATCTCCGTACTGAGTTGTCAGAAATCATCTTGCACTTCCGTTCAAAGTCATAGTAATTCCAAAGACATACATTTCGACCAGCACCAACATGAACAAGTTTTTCTCTGTAATTCTATTCGCATCGCTGATTTCATCTCATGCTTTCACCGCTCCTTCCAGAACTGCCTCTCCCGTGAAGCCCTTTTCCGGTCGTGTAATTTCTTTGCGCATGAGTGAAGAACCCACGACTTCTGAAGTCGCTGAACCCGCGGACCCCATGGATGCTGCAATGGAAGAGGTTAATGAAGGTACAAGAGAACAACTTGAGAAGATGAAGAGAGCTCAAGAACTCCGAGAACAAGAAGTCTTCATGAAGAAGAGTACGGGCAAGCACATTTGCACAAATTGCGATTGGGAATACGACGAAACAAAGGGTGATAGCATGATGATCGGTGGTATGATCAAGCCAGATACTCCATTTGCTGAACTTCCAACCGATTGGCGTTGTCCCGTTTGCAGGGCCTCTAAGGATGCTTTCCAAGAAGTTGTCGAAGAGATTCCCGGATTCGAGGTAAACCAAGGTTATGGATTCGGTTCAAATAGCTGGACTGCTGGCCAAAAGAACTTGGCTGTCTTTGGAGGCCTCGGCTTCTTCTTTCTGTTGTTTCTCTCTGGCTATGCAATGTCCTAAATGTAATCTAGCTCTATTTTTTTATTTTCCCAACGACCTATTAATACCGGTAGGTCCTATTCAGTTTCGACGCTTTCCGTTGATTCGTCAAATAACGACAAATTCGCACTAGGCGGCGAAGACGGCGCTTGTGGTTGTACTTCGTTGCCGTTCCCAAGGATTTCATAGATGGTGACTCCAGCGGCAATCAGAATCCCTGCGAAGCAGACAGGAATAGGAGGGACCAAGTGGAATGCTGCAATGGAAAAAAGTATAGCCCATAGATTTGAAGATTGCAGCGACAAGGTCAGAAGTGTCGCATCAGAAAACTCGAGAAAGAGGCTCACGAGTACGTAGAATGACACTAGCGACAAAGTATACCAGAATACGATGCCAAATGCCTTGAGGCCAAAGGTTCCCATGCCAATCAAAGAGAACAAGGCATGGCGCTCAGCAGCGAGGAAAGCAGAGAACGAGAAAATCGCCCCGTGCAGTCCAATCATTCCCAGATATTCCTTTCTATCAACGCGTTTGGTCCAAAACTCCCCAACAGAATCTGCGACGCCGTATAAGATAGCAGCCAGCGTGGCACAAATGTCGCCAAAGTATGGGTGTGGGGCATCAGTGACATCACCAGTGCCAGATTGTTGGTTCCCATCTGTCCAAAGAGTCAACAAGCCTCCAATAAGACACAAGGCAACACCAACATAGTGGACCTTTCGAAATCGTTTTCCGAGAATCAATCCGCATACTGCCATTGTGGAAGGGACCGATAAAGATCCCAGGATCATTGTACTCGCCAGACTCGTATGGTTCAGAGAGATGAGCGTCAAGTAATTTGGAAGGATATCGAGCACGGATAGACAAATATAGTGCCACCATGGTCGCCTCAGCTCAATTGCGATTATGGGCATCTTGTGGACTTCGCCATCCGTAATGGCAGGTCGAATAGACAAATGCATCGCCAAGATGATATATGATGGAAGCATGAGAAACATGGGGAACCCCGATGCTTTCATACCATACTCAAGCGTGAAAGATGCAGCATTTATTGACGCAGCCATTAATGCGATCAACTGCCCAACACATATTGCCACCGCCGTTTTCCCCTTTGAACGAGACTGAAAAGTGTTGTTGGTCTCTGCAGCATAGTCGTCAAACAGCAGAGTTGCTGAATAGTGCGTTTGCTTCTGGCTCTCAAGTCTCTGAGATTCAGGGTCAGTCATCAGTATCCGTTCTCGACTTTAGAAGAATTGTTCCATCTTTCAAAGGTCGCTTGTGAAAGAAATACGAATGCAGGTTTCAGTTTGTTGAACGAAGAAGATCACGTGTTGTGTTGGGTGATGAGTGAGTCAATTGAATGAATTTGAATGGTCATATAGTCTGGCCTTCGTACACGAACAATGCAAATAACTGTTCGTTTTCAATGAACCA